ATGATCTGCGAGGACAATAAAAGAACATTATTCTAGAAAGACAGAAGATAACAACTAATTTTGCATTTAAATTTGTGAAGAACATTGTTGACAGGAAAGAAAGAAACCAGAAGAGAGTATCAAAGGTGAGAAGAGTGAGAGAAGAAACTATTGAAATAGAACTTACATTTAGCAATTTCAACAATGAAATGGTGAGAAAGCTGCCAATCTAGTACTGTATGTTAATTCATAAAGTTCAAGTACCAAAGGGAAAAGTTCATCTGAATAATTAGCATGAAATCATTCACAAAAAAGGGAAGCTTTATTAAGGAAGTGAAAAAGTGATTGATGCCAAAATGTAAGGTCATATATATATATATATATATATATATATATATATATAGAGAGAGAGAGAGAGAGAGAGAGAGAGAGAGAGAGAGTGTGTGTGTGTGTGTGTGTGTGTGTGTGTAACCTGGTATAAGAGACCCGGATATAAGAGAAACCCGGATATAAGAGAGATTTTCTATGGTCCTAAATTAGAGCTTGTTAATGTAAACAAAATAGATAAATTGTTAATGTAAACAAAATAGACCAAACCCGGATATAAGAGACTTCGTCTCCGGTCCCGATAACTCTCTTATATCCGGGTTACACTATATATATATATATATATATATATATATATCATCCATTACAGTCACAAACCTGCTAATTGGGAATGGTATTAGTACACTTCTTCTCCTTCCAGTTATGGGTAAATAGCAGGACAGACTGGGTTCTATAGCCTTGGATGGCAACTGGTTTAGAAGAAGGACAACTTTGAATTCAAAACCTGCGGAGAGTCGTTATAGTGCACCAGGTTTCTCTATTCGACTCTTGAAAAAGTGTGGTTGGTTCTGCGCAAGGCCTTCACCACTATAATCAAATCATATGTGCTGGTGTCTGTCTGTCGGTTCCTATGAACTGAACTACTGCTTTACCCTCATGCGTCGAATACGACGGGAGAGTCCACCATATATATATATATATATATATATATATATATATATATATATATATATATATAATATATATATAATGATGTAAAGAAAAACTAGAGTAAAACTCAATTGAAAGATGTTAACAAAACGAAAATATGGCATAAAAATGTTATATTTTTAGAATAATTAACACCAAATATTTCAAGGTTGTATCATGAAAATATCAGTTTGAAAAAATGGAAAACTTAGAAAATGATACACTAATTGAAAAGCTGCAAATAACTGAGGGAATTTTAAGTGCATCATATGTAACAATGGCGTACAGTGATAAGAAAATAGACGTCACATTAAAATAAAAAATGTCCAGGGGTTGGCTGGAGAATTCATAGGCTAACCAAAATATAAGTAGACACACCAGTTAGTAGACAAAAAGACATGCAAGTGTACCAAAATACAATAACTAGCTAACCAATCCTCTAATTGAATTAATAAATCCTGTCTTTGATATCATGATGTGCAGTTGGTGTAATGGTTAGGAAATCAGAACAAAAAAATCAGTGAGCTGAGTTTGTATTTCAACTGAGTCTGTTATATTCACTTTCTCACAAAAAGCTATTGTGTCCTGGAACACTTACATGTCTTTTAGCCTAGCAACTGATGTATCTACTTACATTTATATTTTGGTAAGGCTATGAAATTTCGAGCTGACGCTATGTATAACAGAGAAAAGAACTAAATAATATATCTATGTTGTGTTTGAAAGCCCTACGGTGCTGATGCTTTGACAATGCCTCACAGCTCTAACAATGAATTAAACGAGAGAAAAACAGGAGAATTTATATACTTCCAATAACATGTAATTGATTAATTTTCCAGAAAAATAGTTCCGGAAATTCTTTTAATCTGTATTACTAGCCTACATTTTAATTTTTCTTCGCATTTATCCATTTTAATATTTGTTTTCAAGTTCAAAAAGATTGTTTTTAAGTTTAGCCGTAAATGAAAACGGTTAATCCGGCACCGAACTTGGATTTTTTTAAGGCAATTCCCCACAAGCAAGGCAGTCGTGCCACCAGCACGCAACGGCTTACAGAGGATTGAGAACAATAGTAAAGAGACATTTTTGAGGAAAGGATACAGAAAAGGACGGGGAACAAGCTCAGGGTGTCACATGACGATTGACATTACACTTTGAAGATTACAGTCATCGGGGAAGCAAGTAAGGGAAACCTTCCACAGACGGGAAGTGTGGGAGAATCTGTTTGAGAAGAGACGGTTATATTTAACAGTTTTGACAGTGAAAGAGTAGGACAGAGATGCCAGACTGGTAGCACGTTTAAATTCATGTAGACCGAGAACCTTGCGAAAGTATCTCGTTGGAAGAGCTGCCGGGAAAATACTTGTAGAAGAGACAGAGAGAGGCCACAGTGGGTCTGTGGGATAGTGATTGTAGATTAGATGCCAGATCAGGACCTATCATCTTGCATATTCTTCTCTGGATTTTATCAAGGGTTATACCAGAAGATCGGTGGTGTGTCTGTTATTTCACTTACACAAATTTAGTGATTTCGATTACTGTGGATATGTGGAATGGCGATTGTAGATTAGATCCTAGATCAGGACCTATGATCTTGTATATTCTTCCCTGAATTTTGTCAAGGACTATACCGGAAGCTCGGTGGTCTATCTTTCATTTCACTTACACACATTTAGTGATTTCTATTACTGTGGATGTTGGCTACGGCTTCGTAAACAGTAGGATTTATATTGCCCCATGAGAATGACAATCTCGTTTCTTTGTAACGCTCTCGTAATTCCCTGAATCATCTTGACATGTCCTCTCTTTCGTAGAACCAGATCAAAAATGAAGAACTGTTGTCATATATGGGCTTGAGCCTCACTTTCCATTCTTGCAGCTCTTTTTCCCCAAAGATGAAATATCACAAGTTATTCCATCACTATCTCTATAGCCAATTTTCTGAACAGCTATTTTCCATAGTTCCACTAGTTCTCACTTCCACAGCTAAGACCCGCTATGTCACGTATACAGGGACTAACCAACCATCCTAATTACCTTCCTATTCCATTAGTAAGGAGGAAGTTCCACTCGGACAGATTCTTCCCAAGGAAAGCTACTTTGTGTAACAGACTCCCGATAAAATACTTTCTCGGCTGCTCCAATCAAAATCTTTTTAAGTCTCGGATTGATCGTTTTCTTTCCTACAAAAAATGCACTTCTTGGCACTTACTATTACTTGCAGGCTGGCTTCGGCGGCGGCGGCGGCGGCCTCTTCCTTCCCGGGCTAGTTCCAGTTGGGTTCGTTATATTCTCCTAAACGCAAATACCCTCAGGAAAAATATGAATTTACCTCTTCTCACTCCAGCTACTGCTTAGTTGGTAGGACTTTTATCAATAAAATCTTTATTATCTCAAAAAGAATTCTTACAATTTAAAAATATTTTCTTGTTTTAAATAACCTGCAAAAGTTCGATAAACCATAAATACATAAATCAATCAATCCAAATTTACTCTTAATAATCATACAACAACCTCCATCAGGAAACTTCTACCTTGAGAGGCTCTTGGGCCTTGTATTAAACATTACTTAAAAAAAAGCATGAATTCGTCTCGTATTGACCACAGGCATTTTTATTTGTATCAAGTTTCAGTTCAGAGCTAAAAACTCCAGAGAAAAGTATATTGTTGGAAAAGCCGGTTACTTTTGTGTTTTACAAAAGAAGCAAAGGTTGCATTCCTTTCCTAGTCTCTACTATGACGTTTGTAAAACTTTCTTACCTCTCGTGTAAATAAAAAGAAAATGTCATTTCTCTGCGACTTGCTACTTTTTATTTTTCCCAGAACAATATGGATAATAAAATAGCGAAGAGCCATCCTGTCTAGCTTACAGCACACACATTCGAGGTATAAAAAAAAAATATGTCGAAAATAAAACTAAATAAATAAAGAAGAGAGTTTTAAAAAAATAAAATTCTTGCTTCTCTGGCATCGAAAGAGAAAACGGTTTTTGCTCCGTCAGCTAAATAACATTTGCCGCTTCCTAGCGGATTTTTACAGTTTAAAGCTTTCAAGACGTCTTTGGCAATGAATCCACTTTTTTTTTTTCTTTTTTTATTATTTTTTCTTTCTTTCTTTTCATTCAAACTGACTTTTATCAGCTAACTTTCTTTATGATGAAATAACTTAATTACCACACGCCTTGCAAAAATAAGCCAATAAACAAACGAAATAATCTTCTAATTCAAATTTTTGAAGAGTGATTTAAGAAAGATTGTCTCTGACTTTAGAGTTAAAAGAATGAGTTAATTAAAAAAAATACTGAAATTCGAGCAAACAAAAAAATACGGTTAGTCTTTTTTACCTTCATTTTTCTTCCTATAATACTCAGCTTTTTTTATTTTTATTTTCAGGATAAAAGTCGAAAACCAACCACACAAACGAAGCAATTTGTGTTGGTAAGCGTTGTCAACAAAGCTCTCAAGAAAAAATGTTTGTTTCTCAATAACTCAAATTTCATGGGGCACTTTGGCATGAGGTAATAGCTAGCAAGGAAGTTGTTAACTATTGTTAATGAATAGTGTGTTCGATCCTTATTCAGAGCTCTGTTCTCGTGTCCTTGTGCCAGACTCATACTAAATTCAGCTTTACACTTCGAAAGAACACAAGAACCGCCAAATACTATCCTCCGTCTCCTGAAGTACAATAAATTACAAGATGTCTGACTTTACCGGCTCATTTCAAAGTGGTATACCGATGGTTCTCTTTCCAGTCATGGGGGCAGGAACCGTATGATCCTCTTGTCTTATCAAGGATGGCGAAAGCTAAAATTCAAATTTAGTAAATTAGTTTGTTACTTTCGAAGAAGTTTTGTAAACTAACTTGATTAAATAATTCGATTATGTTAAGATAGACTACAATAATGGCAATATAATCTTAAGAAATATTTTTTGTTTGGAACTCGCAAAGCAACTGAAGGTTTAAGTTTTCATGGCTCTTGAATTAAATATTGCCTGTTGTTTACATTACGTGTGCACGGGTATATGTATGTGCGAAGAAAGAAAGAAAGAAAGAAAGAAAGAAAGAAAGAAAGAAAGAAAGAAAGAAAGAAAGAAAGGCATTAGAGAAAAAGAAAGAAAGAAAGAAAGAAAGGCATTAGAGAAAAAGAAAGAAAGAAAGAAAGAAAGAAAGAAAGAAAGAAAGAAAGAAAGAAAGAAAGAAAGAAAGGCATTAGAGAAAAAGAAAGAAAGAAAGAAAGGCATTAGAGAAAAAGAAAGAAAGAAAGAAAGAAAGAAAGAAAGAAAGAAAGAAAGAAAGGCATTAGAGAAAAAGAAAGAATGAATGAATAATGTGAGAGGGATAGAGAAATTAAAAGAGAATTCGGAAAGTCTGATCGGTATTCGAAATATAGCGAGTGAGGGAGAGTGAGAGGTAGAGCAGATGACAAAGTGACAGACAAAGAAAGGAAAAGGTAAAGATAATATAAGACAGAAAGGGACGATGTGATAAAGTAGCAAGGAAAGAAAGTTAAAAAATAAATAAAGTGAGAGATGGAGAGTGATGATGCGAGAGGGACAAATAAAGAAAGACTCCATTGTACCCATCAAATCAAGTCGTGAACCTGCTTAACTCGATATATTCATTTATTTCTTTAGTCGCTTGTTTGTTGAATTTCTCCTCTACCACATGCTAATTAAATTCATGTCAACAGAAACAACTTCAACATTGGAACTCAATTTAATTATAAAAAAAAACTGCATGGAGTGCGGAATTCACCACATAAATTCAAATCAGTTATTTAAGGTCGGAAAAGCAAATAAACCACAAATATATTTTTATTTATCATTTCATTTATTTGTGGGTCGAATCTGTTTATTTAAGCTGCCATTTTGGATTCTTCGCGCTCAAAAATTTTGGATTCTACATGCAGAAAAGGTTTGGAATATACGTGCCCAGAAATTTGTGCTGAAATTCATCTTACAATTCCAGAATATTACACCATGGCGACAAAATTAATAGAAAATAAGGGAAAATTCACTGAATTTTCGACTAGTTTTCTGAAGTCAATGCAAAGAACTTAGGAATTAAATCTCCGTAAATATTTTCGCCTAGGAATTTTAGATTATTCTTTTATTCTTATTCCTGTGAAATTCGAATCACCAATGGAATATGTTTAATGCTTAAGGATATAAAGGAAGACTGTGTTGCGTAACTGAAGAGGATTTGCTTACCTTAACAATCAGTAGTGGACAATCCTGTTTTCTACCTGAATCATATTTCAAAATAATGTTAAATGATTCTTTGACGTTGTATAATAATTGTTATTTGCATGTAGGAATATATAGCTAGGCAATAATATACCTGTCTGTTCTGTTAAATATATATTTAAAAGTCAAGGCATTTACCTCTGTGCCAGGAGTGTGTTGGCGTTGTCTGTTGTGTAACTGTTAATAGCGCACAAAATAGATTCCGCGGTCAGAGTTCAAACTGTCAGTGCTGTCGTCGGGGTGGGGGCGTTAGTTATATCGCTATAATAATAATCCACAACTGTAATTAGTTTCTCTGTCTGGATTTCTGGGATGAAGAGTTATCTACATTTACATTATTTAAACACTGATTAATGTCCTCGTTTTTATATGATGTTTCGGCTGTTGTAACTTCCGGCCTTCTTCTCGTGTCAGTTGATCTGGGTAAATTTCAGAGAAATTTTAAATAAAGCCTTTATTTAATCAATACTAGTAGACTGTCCTCACTCCGCTATCCAGGTATGTGGATATGTCGTATTGGTTAATTCTATTAGCACTGCAGCTTTTACAGTTATTAGTTAGCTATACAACTTAGGACGTCCACCAAGCATAGACGGCGGAATGAGAACACTCTGCCCCCTTAGATTAAAGGGTCCAGTTCGAGACTTCCTGATGATTACTCAAATTGACAAACACCTGAAGAAGGCCAGAGAAACAACGGATGAACTTTTGTATAAGACTGACTGTAGATAACAGTGACTGCATCATTGACTACAAGAATACCAATCCGAGAAGTTCTATTTCTTTATTCAATCACTCATTTGGAGGTTTATCGCTTCACTGTCTGACATAAATGAATATTGCAGAGAGAGCGGGAAACATAACAGTTTCCAATATGTATCTACCTGACATATTAACTGTTCACTAAAGAAGAAAGAAAGGAGAGTCACTGTAGCACAGATCATATATAGTGATTTACTAAGCAGAGCTTAAATGTGGCACAACGCTGAAAGTTTGGAGCACCCAGTGAGGATCGAACTTCCTACTCAATCGAAATTGATCTAACGAGACAAGCTTGCAATCCGTTACACCAGTTCGAAATGCACAGAGATTTAGTAAGCGTAGCTTACATGTGGCCCGAGGCCGAAAGTTTGGAGCACCCAATGAGGGTTGAACTCACTATCCAGTCGTAATTGATCTACCAAGACATGCTTACTAACCATTGCACAAAGTCAAAGTGCCCCGACCCAAATCATTTCAAAGAATCTTTCAAGAATTACCGCGATTTATTAAATAAATATCACTAAATTAAATCATTTGAAAATCTTTATTTGTCATAGAGTAATTTAGATTAAAATATTGTTTAGACTAAAATATTGTTCTAGTTTCCAAGTAGGTAAGCTTCGTTAAAATACATTTAAAATAAAATGAACTAATTTGATTTAAAGATAGTGTAATGTCATGAATTCGTCTCTTCTTCTCACCTATTCTATATAGGTTAAATAACAGAGTAGACTGTGTTCTCTAGCCTTGGCTGACAACCATTCTAAATGATAGAAAATACTGAATATTAAACTATGCAGAAGACAACGGGAAACTTTTTCATTCTATTTCCTAAGAATGCTTGGCAATTTAGAGATAATAACGAAATAAATCTCTGGAGAGTCTTGATCGCCGACTTACTGAAGAGACCCTGTATAAAATAAAAGCAGTATATATATGTATATAAATTCTTTCAGAAGAGGTTGCCTCGAGGCGGTGTAATGGTTAACAAGCTTGTCTCGCTAGAACAATTACGACTGAGTAGTGAGTTCGATTCTCACTGGGTGCCCCATACTTTCGTTCTTGTGTCGCATCTAAGCTACGCTTGAATAAATCGCTAAAAATTCTTTCAGAAGATGATACCTACTTCCTTTAAAATATTTTGAATTTAACCTTTTCACTCGTGTATAAGCTGCATGTTGATTTGTGTGGATACTATTTGGAAGTTCACTTCTGTTTACGCGAATTCCTGCGATTACAAAAAAAAAAATTGTTTCTTTTATTCTTCACGTCAGCATCTAAACTAATTCTCCCAACAAGAAAAATCTTTCACAACTTTATGATGTCCATTCTCTTCAGTATATTCAATAATACGCAATTTAAAATTGTCATTTGATCTTTTGCCTTTAGTATTCATGATTTGGTTTTTCTGTCAACTTGCTCGATCAGAAATATAATGATTATTTTAGCACTTCTGTCAACAAATCTTTGCATATGGAGGCGAGAAATTTACCCAAAATTGTCTATTATACAACAGGAGATTGAAAGAAGAGTTCAATGTAATCCAATTGGTTTATCCTGCATAATAAATCACTGTATTATCCAACCGAAGTAAAAAAAAAAATAAAATAAATCCATATAAAATTGCTTCTTTTTTTACAATGATGTTCATAAGGCCCTCGAGGTAGAGACTTACAGAGTAAGAATCACAGTTTATGGGGATATGTGGAGAAGATAACGGCTGACACTATACTTGAACAGGTTAAGAGGGTAGGGATTGGAAAAGCATCCTCTTGGGAGTCGGTTTAACAAAGCAGCGGTTCGTGATATTGTTGATCGAGTGAAACTTACATATGGAATACACATGTAATAAAAGTGGTTTGTTACAATGTGCATAGCATGGTGGGTCTTAGCCGTGAAGGTTAGAACCGATGGAACTAAGGAATGTAGCTCGTCTGAACACCCAACATGGAAATAGCGATAGAGCAGCGATAGGCTTACGACATTTCGTCTGTGGGAAAGGGGGTGTCGGGTGGAAAATAATTCATCACCCACAAGGACACAGAAATGCTTTTGGACTCTATCAAGACTAGAAAGTGAAACTGTGGCCCTCCTGCCTCTCTATACCATAAATACTCCATTATCCAACTCTTGTAAAGGTCGAGGATAGCAGGTACTTCAGAACTCCCGGGATCCATTTTGTTTCCGTTTGACCTTGGCCTTAATTTATGCGTAGCTATATTTTGAATTTTCTAGAACTCTCTTGAAATGATTATGTGTAGTTCTGAAAGCAGAGAGACTACATGGTTTCCCGTGATAGATATTCTAGTAGTGGCTAAGATGAGATAAGATCAGGGATGAAACAGTGTTGGATGTTTGGTTTTTGCTGCAATTAAATTGTTTATCTTTCTGATACGAAAATAAAGCTAGCAAATATATAGACATCGAAATTCCATAAATTTTATAAATAATACAAAAGGAACAAGCCACATTAAATATCTTTCACCACAGGAGATGGTATCATAAAGTGTGTATAAAATATTTAACATGTGTAAATTATTTCATGGAGTCGTTTTGGTGCGTTTTCGATCTCTTTAGCCGTTACTGTAGACTGTTTGAAACTTTCAACTATCTATAAAATACCTGGACGTATCCAACGGAATCTTGTCTATCACAGTCTCACTACATGGTTCTTGATAATGACTGAAGCGATCGAAAATATTTTTAAAAATACAATACAAAATCAAACACTATTCAATTAATAATTACATGTGAGCCCACAGATTTATTGATCTACCCTTGTGTCTGTGTGTGGTGAGGTCATCTTGAATTTTTAAAAAAATAAAATTATGTCTTGTACGGCGATTTCCATTTGAAAATACGCCACAGAATCGAATGTAGTGCATAATAATGGAATTGGATAATCGTCTAGTTTCTAACTCCGAAGAGGCACTGAAATTTTCTTATCCCAACCAAGATCGGATTGGAAAATAAAATCTGATGATTGCTCGAATGGTCAGATTTTGTGAAGTCATTCAAATCAAGAACATTTCAATATCTCTTCATATAATCAATGCAAAGAGAGGCTTTACAGAAGAAAATATACCGATTTCTAAAGAAAACGGAATATGGAACTTTACTCTGGAAAAAATATATTTCGATATTGCGATGACGCTCACACTATATCTATTCATATTTCTAGGATGAATTATTATTATTATTATTATTATTATTATTTACATTGTTTGGACTGTTGTTCTCATCTTTGTTGTCATATTCACGACGTTTTGGGCGTTGTACGCTCTGGCCTTCTTCAGGCGATTAGAATTTAGAACTGAATCCTTTATTTCGTCCACCGGGATAGATTGTTCTAGTTCCACGTGGCATGCCGCTTCCGGGTGTCTTAGTTATCTCCCTTTAACTCAAGACCGTTGATGTAAGTAGTATGAAGTTAGAATAGTCTCTCCGTACAGAATATAAATGATCAAGGAATATTCTGAAGCCAAGTTGGTTATGGTGTTATGCCTAAAAGACATGCACCCAGAATATGGACGCAATTTCAAGTATCATAAGATGCTACTCTATTCTTTCTTCAA